AAAAAGTAAATCAGAACTAAAAAAGTGCAAAAACGCAGGCAAATTTGCCTGCGTTGGTCTACATATTAAGGGATAAAATTGTTATAATACAACTTATTATACGCTAAAATTGGCCAAGTAAGTATGTTGTCTACTTACATTCCTAATTATTTCTTTAATTTTCCTTGCGTGAGGACCATTGGGATTTTTAAGCTTCAACAAGGCTATATTGAGCCCTTGTTTTACGATCGGCTCCAATTCTTCAAATGTTTTTAAGTCTCCTTCGATTGTTTGATATGTAATTGTAGAAGGGGTCATAACTTCTATTTATAACTTCAAAGAAAAATTTTCTATAGTTTTTGATGACATAAATAGCGTCAATTGTATAAATCTATCGATAGATATATTTGTTGTACGTGAAATTTGAAATTAAGCTAAGATGCGTCAGATCAATTTATTACTAGCTGGAGAAATACTTATTTTGTGTTACACTAAGGTAGAAATGAGCAAAGTCAGTTACATATTATTACTTAATATTACTTAATTTTACCTTGAATAATTATTATTAAGTAATTTTACAATAATTTTATTGTTAGTAACAACTTTTTGTTCAATCTCAATTTTGATCACCCATCTCTGACTTTTATCATGTGTTTATATATACACGTAATAGATAATTGAATGTAATAATTATTTAATATTACGTAAGGATAAGTCATAGGTCATTATTACTTAAAAAATTACTTTGCCCATCTCTACACTAAGGATGTTCTCAATCAGTGTTATAAATTCAAATTTATATGCGTGCTATATATATTATTATATGCGCAAATATCTATATACTGTGCGAACCCAATTTACATCACTGTTCTCAATGTAGAAGTTCCCATAAAAAATTTTACCCCCTCATGATTTTTATCCAATTAGAATATTAAGGTTAGGGTTAGGGTAATGTTAGATTAGTGTTAGGTCACGTTAGAGGGATTTATTGATTAATGTTTTTGTGGGAGATATAGGTGTTTCAAAGCAGTATGCTCGATGTGATGTGATTAGCTATTAATTGAAATAGTGCTCAACCATTATGGCGTTATTAATTAGACCATTTTTGAGAACTGATAGTATTATGTTGAAAACCGATAGTATGGATGATGTATGATTGAAATTAGTAACTAGACTCGTATAAACTCGTGACTCGCGAATCAAACCAAAGAAGAGTGCTCGAATCATTCAATTGAATTACTTAGTCAAGTTTTGTTCGAGTAATTCGAGTCATAGCAATTAGTTTATTGATAAATTTTATAAATGCAAGTTTAACACAATTTTATTTAACACAATTAACACAATAAAAAAGCTCTATTATAATTGTGAAACATAAATTTGCCAAATTTGTATTTGAGCTTCGGTTTATTTGTTGCTATAAATCAATTTGAAGCAAAAAATTACTAAAAAGTTAATTTTTTGTTTCACGAATTTGAAAGCATTTTACAATATCCTGCTCTTGCTCTTGCGCATCTACTTATTTGCACCGGTAATACAAATCTCTAAAAAGGAAATAGCCAATCAGAAAACACAAATTTCGAGTATTCCAGATCAGTCCAAATATAATCCAAACACATGCAAAAGAAGAAAAAAAGAAAAGAAAGTGAAAATACTCAAAAACTAGTGTTTAAATCGACCTTATTGGACTAACAAAAAATAATGGAGAGGTGAAATTTTACATATAAAAAACTCCAACTTATAGCTAAGCTCACAACTCTAACATTCTAATCCTAAACTTCTATTTTTACGCAGTTAATTTATTTACAAAATAGGATTTTCTTTTTTGGGTTGTGTTACCGGTGCAAATAAGTAAATTGTTGTTGCTTTTGCTCTTGCAATAAAAAAAAAAAGTACAAACATACTAATTTTTTTATTTTTGTATAAAATTTAATCGGTTCATCATAAATCTATTATATACATTGTTGTTATTTTTTAAATTTTTCAAATTTTACGTTCAGATTTTTTGCTGCCCTGATTACTGATCATCAAAGGCAAGAACGAAAAATTACTGGATTACAGCGAAGAATTTGATGATTATTTCTAAATATATTTATACCATTAAGTTACCTTTTGATATCTTTTATGTTTAATTTAGGTTATGACCTGTAAGCACTATATATATTAATGATCTTTTTTTTTTTGCACAACAATAAGTTTTGTAAATTGCAATAATTCTAATTATAGCTAATTCGATCCTAACTATATAGAAATCACAATAATCCTACTGCAAATTAACTACCTTAATACATACTGTAGTTACTAGAATAACGAATTCTGTATTGAAGATAAAAATCATAATAACTTCCATATAGTGGTTACCAGAATAGCACATAAGCTCTATGCCAGAATTTTCAATATAAACTAACTTAGTCACTATGTTTCACGGGTCTATATTATTTCACTGACAATTACTTCATAGACACTATATTTCACCGACAATTATTTATCGACAAGTTCATTTTACTAACAGTCTTTTACTGAAGCTCATTTCGCCGACAAGTTTTTTTTTGTAGATTACACTAGCTTTAATTCTAACCTAACTCTAATAATATTGATCAGAATTACTTTGCCTATAAAATGAGCTTCGGTGAAATGAACTTGTCAGTAAGTGAAATGTGGTGCCTACGAAGTGATTGTTGGTGAGTTGATCGGAACCCATGTTTTACATTAGATAGTAAATCATATAACAGAATTTTTACAATAATCACAATAGAAACTATGATAATTCTAACTCTACATTAATTATATACTATGTATCACTATAATAGCAAGTAAGTTTTGCAACAAAAATTTTTGAAGAAATTTATGATATAGTTATAATAATTCTAATGCAATCTAACATGACTTTAACTATATGCAGTAGCTACCGGAATTGCAAGTTTTGTAACAGAATTTTATAATACATAACTTATAAGGGCACTGACATTTATTACGTAATTTTTTAGGGGTGGGGGGTTGAGCATACTATATCAATATTTTACGTTACACAAAGAAAATTAGTTGGACCAAATTCTTTTTAAATTGGCCAATCATATTGAAGCTTATATGAGGGAGCCCTCATAGTAAATGGAAATTACGTAATAAATGCCAGCGCCCTAATAGAATTGCTATACGGTAGTATTCATATTATATATCAAATAATAGCATCTTTACACTTTGAAGAATATCTAGCTGGTATAAAATATTGAAAACTGGTAAGTTGAACGAGAATATACAACAGGTATATTTTTAGTTTTCATAAATATCCGGATATACCAGTTGGCACTTTACGGTATGATAATTATAATCAAACTAATACAACAACTAAATCTTTTACAATATTTTATAATAAAAATTAATATAATAATGGTAATGTAAACTAGCTCAATCTTAAATCACTATTGCTATTGGAGTAACAAGTAAATTCTGTAACAATTTTTTACAATAAGAAATCGCAATAATTTTAATACAAACTAACTTAACTTTTACTATATAGAATTTCAATACAAACTATCCTAATTTTATTTACATACTATGTTCATCGAAATAACAAGTTTTGTAATATAATTTACAGTACTCAGTAGAAATTTATACAAACTAATTTGATCTTAACTGCATATTGTGATTACTAGAAAGTTCTGTAATAATAAAAATATCATATTGGTGAGTAATCATGTAATATAATTTTTTAAAATAATTTATGGCAAAATTCATAATAATTCTAATGCAGACTAACTCGACCTTAACACATAGAAATCGAATTAGTTCTAATGCAAACTTACTTAACTCAATCGCATACAATGGTCACTGGAATAGCAAATTCTGTAAAATTTTCTATGGTATAATTCTAATACAAACTAACTCAATCTTAACCACATACTATGCTCATTAAAGGCAAGCTAAATTTTATGTAAGAATTTTTTACAATAATTTAATGCAAACCAATTTAATTTTAACTGCTGTGTACCATATTAGCAAGTTATATATCCCATGATAAAACTACGATCATTTTAATACAAACCAACTTGAACTACATACTATATATTACTAGAATAATGGATAAGTTTTGTGACAAAATTCTTTACTGTATCTTATAATAGAAGTCATAGTAATCTCAATACAAATTAATTAAACTTAACTACATACTGTAGTTACTAAACCAATGTGCAAGCCCGTAACAGAAGTTTTTATAATGACTCACAATGATTAATTATTCCTCCTAAAATTAAACAGGCCAATTACAACACAGCAAAGACTTCCACAGGTCAAAATTAAAAATCTCAGTAATCAATCAGTATAATATCAGATAAGTTAATATTAGTCTAATATTAGGCTGATATTAGGCTGATATTAGGCTAATAAAATTCAATATAAAAGCTAATAGTTTGTAGTTTTAAGAAAATTTGGCACATATCAGCCATTATCAGCCTATTTGATAATAAGCTGATATGTTAATAAATATATATATAATTTTTTATTTAACTATTAAAATATAATTTTATATTGATTATTATAATTGAAAGGTTATCAGTAAGCTGATATGTTTCTTATATATTAAATAACCAATAAAAGATTACAAAAAGATCTGGAAATAAAAAATATTTAAATAATATTTAACTTTTGCAAAAATAACAATTACAAATTAATTATTCGAATTGAGTGATTTAATTAAATTTTGTATTTAGCCAATAGGAACTTGGGGAATTAGTAAACCCAAAATTTCGATCTGTGATTACTGTATATATTCTATAAAAAATAATGCAGATCTGGTCACTAGATTATGAGAATTTTGGCTGTAAAAATTATATGTACAAAGTTGGTTTTCTCAGATAAATGCATTATATAATTAATTATTTATTTGATTTAAATTTATCTAACCTAATTAGCAACTCAACTAGAATCTTTAGACTTAATTTAACTTGAAGTCAATTCATTATAATAGATTTACTAAATTAAAAATAGTTTGTTCATTTTATATGTTCATTTCATTTGCCCCGCCCTTTCGAGAGTTCTAGAAAGTGATATTAACCGAAAAATTAACTTTAAATAGCCTTAGTTCCTTTATAAAAGTTTCCTCTTCTACTCTACTGATCTTGTAATAAAACTATTTATCGAATCCTCTTGCCTCATGATATCTTGCCAAAAGTTGTTATTTCTATATCGTGAGAATAAAAAGAAAAGGAGAAAAACTATCAAATTAGTAATCAGACCTCTTATATAGAATAAATCAAACTTCAAAATTCATCATTATTATGCACTACTATTGTTTCCTGATTATGTTAATTAATTGCAGTCTTATGACAGTAACCGAAATAAGCAAAGTACCCAAGAAGAGAGTAAAATAGAATCCGTAGTGTTATATAAATATAACATAGGCTAGATAACTTCTTAGTAGAAGCCAAAGAAAACTTATTTTGAAACCCAACATTACCTCTTCAAGGCCCAGCACCAAAAAACTCAAACCAAGTCTCACACACCTCAATTGCCTACCAACTTTGCTTTTGATCTTGTTTTCTGCTAAGATTTGCTGTGTTTTAGAGTTTTATTAGATTATTTAGTTAACATTTTATCAGTTTTACGCTTACAACAGTAAATAAATAAGAATTAATAATCAATATAATTATATGATATTTTTTGATTTTAATACTGTAATCTATTGTTTAAACTATATAGTATAGTAATTAATATATTTATAAAAATAAATAATACAAAGTGTATAATATGTACAATATAATGTTATTAATAACTCTTTCTAACGATCACCTGGACCAAAATTTTCTGCTAAAGAAAAACCAGAACTACTTGTTGGAGAGTTATGGCCTATATAGTGGTTTGTCTAGAGATTAACTACTACTCTCGGGAACTCCTCTAAAGAAGGACATTCGGTATGCAAGCTAGGAGCGTTATTATACAAGATAACTGGCAGGCGGTGCTCTTGTATAAAAAATCTTGGTGGAGTATGAGTGAGGAGGCCCAACTTCGTCAACGAAGCTATTTGGTTGTTACTTCAATGAAGAATATAGAGGAAACAACAAGAAGCTCTGCTCTTTTAACACACTCGTTTAAAAATTTTAAAAGTACTTGCAACTCTCTCCTCGCATTTCTTCCTTCTGTCAGTTTTTCAAAAATTCTTTTTCAAAAAGTGGGGAGTTGGCTTATCCCTTCAAAAAATCGATATTGTTTATATCCCAAATCCGTAAAGCTGAGTAGATTACAACCATGTGTTCGACGGATATGGTGTTACTAATTTGAATAGGTCCCGAGTTCTAGGTCGGAACCAAATATTCCGGAGTCGGTCGTATAGTTGCGAAGTGTTTTATTAGAGATATACAAATATTGTAATTGTTATATAATTTTCATACTTGTCTGGCACAGGTTATAATAGTGCACTTTCCTTTTTTTTCTTTTTTGCTCATTTTTGTACTACTTCTTAATAGAGGTAGCTGCTATTTCTCACGAGAGATAGCTTTTCTTGTTCAGTCTGTCAGGGCTTATCTCTTTGTTTTTTTCTTTTTTTACATTTTCTGTTTTCCCCATTTTTATTCCTTATTATTTTTCCTTTCTTGTTTTGTATCTTTTTTGTATATAAGCTCCTTTTTTTTGATGTACGTTCTAGTATTGAGAATATAGAACATTATTTTCTTTTGCTCTCAGTGAAGAAAGTAAAGATGAAGGGATAGGCTCTTGGCGGGCTGACAAGGTCTTATAACTTACATGTAGGTTGGTGCAACACGTCGCTCTTGGGCACACTAGATGCAGCCAGGTGATGTTGGGCTTGCAATTTTTATACTGTTATTATTCATTTCTATCTGAGGTTGTTTAATAAAGTATTGTATTTGAGCTCTGGCAAGACTGTCAAAGAGCTAAAAAAAAAAAAAATATGTACAATATAACGATAATAAATAATATACTGTAATATAACACAAATATTTAAAGACAATAAAGTCTAAAGCTTTATTTAAAGAGCATTCTTTTATTCTTTCAAGATATATTATATTTAAACCATTTATTATTTTAATATTTTAGTCTATCTTAATAATACTTCGATTAGGTCTAATCTTTAAACTAACTAATTTAATACTATTTTTTTCTATTTTTGAATATTAAGCTTTAATCTACTTCTAATTCTTTTGAATTGGCTTCACCTGTTCATACAAACAAACCAAAAATTAAATCTATTTTATATAAAAAAAATAAAGTGTAACAAGTAAAGAAATATTACAGTTTTTTAAAAAAACTTGTGACAATAGTAATAAATAAAAACATATCAGTATATACATACTAGAAATAGAATTTTATAATATAAAGGGAGAACAAAAGTCTATCTATTTTATTTTTAAATATCTATAGTAATATATACCTATTTATATATACTTATTATTTTTTTCTCAATTTCTTTAATTTCTTTGTATTATTATCTTTTGACTTTTTTCTCTTCAATGTTGATATATTGCTATCGTCATCTTCACTAGTAGTATCCTCTTTACTAATGTTATTATCATTGGTTGAATTAATCTTATCATCTTTATCACCTGCTTGTACACTTCTTTTTTTTGTTGTTTCATCATCTTTATTATTATATTCTGCTATTGCTCTTTGTTTTGCAGTACAACCTACAGATTTTATATATACAGAATTAGTAAATTTTAGAGAAGTTGGATTTAAAGAGGTAGGACTTGTAGTTAGATTGATAATGAGTATATTAGTAATATCACATTGTTCAGAGGTAAAATCTACTATATTATTGCTTTGAGACTTTAATTTTTTACTGCCTTTTATCATATTTTCTTTTTTTTATTTGTAATTTTTTACTTTTTACTTTTTTTTTTTTTAATATGAATCTTCATTGCTAATCAAATAATCTGCATCAAACTTTGGTACAGGAATTTGATACCGGTTTAAAGCTTCTTTAGATAAGGCCCAGGAAGGACAGTTTGCTAGTAGTATACTATTCATATCTATGTGTCCCTCTTCATAGTAACGTTTTATTAGTTTTTTCTTGTTTGTTTGTAAATGTTTTACAAACAGATTAATTCATTTATAAAACAGTCTTTTCAACTAAATACAATATAAAGTAATACAAGTTAATAGGCAATTGTTCAGTCAACTGGACAAAAATTTTTTTTTATATATAAATTTTACTATAAGTGTGAATGCACCGAGCCTGTATCTAAAACTTTTTTTATACTAAGTAAATCACTCTTCGGCTTCTAACAAAAGTTGTAGAG